GGGAGAGGAAGCGATTCAAGTGGCGCATGGCGCTCAGCCTGGAGTTCACTTGTGCTGGGAAGGTGGGAATGATGATTAAATCATTAAATGGCATGGAAAGAGAAGTAGTAGGCTTTATTCTTAACAAGCAAATACAGTGCATTTTCTGAGCAAATATTTTTCTGTGTAGTGTAACCAATTAGCAATTCACACATGTACAACCTTTGCGTTAGAAGTAGCCTTACTGTTAAAATAAAGGAAGCCCCACTGTTTATCTTACTAGCTCTCCTTCCTGCAGCCGGCCTGAGTTATATGTTGCTTTGGTTTGACTGTGGTAGGGAGGGGATAGTATTTTGCTGTTGAGGTTTCTTCCGGATCAGTTAATGTTGGTAGAGTCTATCATCTCACCTGCATTGTCATGGAACTGGAAAGAATAAAAAAAAGGAAGCCAAAATGCTGGGTATAACTCCATGAAAGATATACTGGTGCTGGTAGGGATGGGACCAAGCTTCACTCCTCAGAGCTGGCTGTGTACTCTACGCTGCTCCTCTAGTCTGATGAGAAATTAGCAGCAGTGAGGTGCGTTGCATCTGCCAGGTAGAGGTAGGTCTGTCCAAATCAGTTAGTGTGAATATCTAACTCAGATGCAGATGTCTGAGTGTGGGCAATAAACATTGTCCTAGGTACACGTTGTGAACAGTTGAAAACTAATTTTGGCACACCTGTCTTTTTTTTCCTTTCAGATTCACAGTGCAGAGCTCAGTTTCTCGATACTTCATTTGAAATTAAATATTAGTTATGACTGATATTTTAATGTCATATATTTTAAGATTTTGATGTTTGATCTTTTTTACTTTGAACATGGCAAAAAAGGAATTGTCCATTATATATTGTAGAGTAATAATATGTAGGATGCGATATAAATTCTCTAATTGGATTTTTTAAAAGTATGTATCATACTCTATAGCTAACATAGTTTAGTGTGTCTGTGTTGGAGCCCGTAACCTGCATGTGCAGTTATGGCAATATTTTAGAAGAGTGTAGACAGAGCTGTATGCTGGAGAAATCTGGGGCTGTGTCCATCTGGCTCAACAAGCCTAAGTGCATAACTTACCTGATTTTCAAAGCAGTAAAACATGATTTGTGGAGGGAAGCCATCGACTAGATTTCCTATCAGTTGAAAGTTGCTACCCATTTTTTCAGGTGGAAAAAAATCTGCAAGTGGTTTTAAGCACTGCTTAGACAAATTACTGATACTCTGACTTCAGGGGTACCAGATGTTCCTCGTGCAGTTTAAAAACACTTTGAGAATGTCTGTCATAACCATGTGTACATAAGCGTATCTCATGTTGCAGCCTGTATACAGGGGTTTTATCTTTCGTGCAGTTAATCTTTCAAGAGTTTATTCTGATAATATTTTAAATGTAAGGAATTTTCTTTTTATCTTGCTTTTTTCTTACCAAAAAAAGAGAAAAATCCACACTCAGTCCAGACCATAAACAGGTAGAAGGTTGCATGATAGAAGGGGAAAGTATCTGTAGGTGAGGATGGGATTGTATCTAAACAGAGCATAGCTGGAAGCTCGCATTACTTTCAGCCTGAATAAACAAAGCTCAGCAGTATGCAGTGGGCCTGAATTGGCAGATTTCGTACTATTAGTCTGGATTGTAGCTCACAAATTGTGTGCTTATTATGCATGGTGATGCTAGGACTACTTCTGCCAGTTTCCTGCTCCAAATCTTTTGCTGATTTTGGAGTTGCTGTGCAAATGACCGGAAGGAACAGGCTTTTTCATGTCTCTTCATATGGACAATGGCTTGTTGCAGAAGAGAACAGAGGTAGGCATCATTAAACTGGACCATTTGTTACTGGTACCTCTTGGTCAGTATATAAACAGCTGTAAACAGCTTTTAAAGGAATTGTTATGCTCATCTCTAGGCCAAAAATGACACTTCAGCAGGTGTTGACTTGCTAATAAGTAAGTCAGACTCATGTCAATTGATTTTTAAAGCATTAGAAAAGCATTGAAAAATAATAATAAAAAACCCCTTCCTGCTGTTTCTTGAGTGGCCTCCAGCTTCGAGGTAAACTTCTGAAAAAGAGAAGGTGAGCTTTGTGAAAATTTGAAACCTTGTCAGCTGTCAGCAGGTGACTTTGTGGTGGCCTGTAGATTGCTTGCCATGCAGATTTGTCTTTTGAAAGAACTGCCATCAATCTTGGATAAAGGACAGCCCGTTTGCAGACATGGTAAGGCTCGGGTGGGACCAGAGCGAACCCAATTCAGTTTCTCCATGCAGCCTCTTTGAACGTTTCTAGTCTTTCTGTTGTGGTTTTAAGTGTTTGCATGAGACGAAATGTATAACAATTCCTCCTCTTCTGTGTGTGCTTTCTCTGACTTTGGATTCCTTTCCTTTATTGCCATGCATAACAAGAGTTCCAAACTGCTTGCAATAAAAACCATGGTTCTGAACAGCAACTTTGGTATTGGTCAGGAGAGGTGAACTAGGAGACTTTCAAATCAGTTTTCATAAAAATTCTTGATGAAGAGGCACAGGTCATTAATACATAGTGGTCTTTCACCTGGAGTTGCTGCTTAATGAAGAGAAAAACAGAGGAAAAACTTCACGTCAAAGCTTATAGCAAAACCATGCATTCAAAATAATTCTCTTTGGAAACATTTTAAACAGTATTTATTGCTTTGATGTTGCCTTGATCATATTTTAATGCTTAATTAAAAATAAAACTCCAAGCATCTGAAATTACATTGTACCTTAAAGCTCAAAGAGAGTAGTTTTGGGTTTAAGTATTTTTTGCTCAGACAAAAGAAACAAAAATGTCAGGCTATTTGATGTTTGTGTCATCCTAGAGGAGTACACTATTGGCACTGATGCATATGATGTTGGTTTCCATGAGAGTACTGATGTGAATTAAGATTACTTATGAGAATAAGGGCATGAAAGAGAAGGTTCATAGGCTCCAAGAAAAGGTTAGTAAAAGAAATCTATAATTGTAGGTAGAATCTGCAGAGATTTCTCCCCGTATCAGTTCAGTTTAACAGAAAGAGAAGACTGTGCTCTCGTTCCGTATGGATTTGTTAGGCCCATGCTATCGGATTCCTCATCTGCACTGAATGTGATGAATGGCAAGGGCCTGGAGCAGCTGGATGCCGTCTCTGAGCTGCCAGTTGCATAAACTGCATGTTCCTCATGTTCAGTGTCCACAGTGAATAGTAGGAAAAAGCTTTGTGTTTCTCTCTTACCTTGTTTTTTCCCTTTTCTTTCTTTTCTTGATTCTTCATCAGTTGTGTTTGATGAATGTCGTTTCCACGCAAGTATCCAACAGACTCAGATTTTGAAGTTGTTGAAAGTGTGCAGGTGACACTTCACCTACAGCAGCAGTTGCTTTGAGGGTGGATGTTGATGAAAGGAAGCAATGCTAATTCTGTCATTTAAATTTCCTATGGGCAAGGCACAGTGCTGCTCTTCAGTCTTTATACAATTGCTTTTACCTGTGTGGTACACCAGGTCTGGCTACTGCTGTAACCCACCTGGTCCTTTGGGTACTGGGTAACTCCTTGAAAGTAAATAAATAAAAACAATGTCATAGATGCTTTGCTAATATCAGGTGGATGCTTTGCTGATATCGGGTAGCTTGTGCTTTTCTTTTTAGAGTATGCATTCTTCCCCGTATGTATGTGTGGGTACTTTCTAATGGTGCTAGTGTCAAGATAAAGTGGGTACATTAGTAGTTATTGCGAGAGTGAACATGAACGTGGAAGGAGAGCCCTCAAAAATCGGCGTGATGCCTTTTAAGAGTAATGAATCTGTATTCTACAGGTCTGGGTACAAAGTCCAGATAGTCCCATTCAAAGAGGGATTGTAAAAGCAGCTCTGTCACTGACAATGTATAAATGTGCCTCTGCCACACATTCTTAATTCTAGCAAACACACCGTTTAAAGCTGCCTTACTGCTCTGAGAAGTGAGTTACCTGAAGGTACTCACACCTGTGAAGCATAGAAAGGTTGTCCAGTTTTTTGACTGTGAAGAAGGATGTCCTTTCTGCTGGTGAAATTACGAGGACACCTGTTCCCTGGAAAATAGATTGAAGCCACTGGATCTTTTCTCGGTTCAGGGCAGTGAATAATCACTGTTAGTTGTGGCTGCAGGTCAATGTTAATGCCAGCCAGGCTGAAGTCAATGAGTCATTACCAATCCCATGAGAATTGTAGTCCCATTAGGAAGCAGTATTTAAGCAGCCTGTCCTAAAGGATATAGCAGAACAGAAAATGCTCTGAGAATTCTCTAGTGTTTTACTTTCTGTAATTGTAAGTACTTGCTCAAGACTTGAACGTTGACCCTGTGGTCTCGGGTCTGTTCCTAGTGGACAGGTCTGTGAGTATAAACAGGCACTGAGCAGCTGGCACTAATAACCGTGCTTGGCTGGCTCGGCAGAGAGAAGGAATGTGAATGAGCTGAGAGGCTGAACAGCTTTCTCGCTGGGGATGGAGCGCCTCATGGATGGGTTTCAGGTGTGCTGCTATGGCAGCTGCTTCTTTCTGGACCTGCAAACTGTCAAGCTCAAAGAAGTGCTGTAACATTGGTTTAAGACACTGCTTTGGTGCTTGGCTGGACAGGATACACATTGCGAGCACAAGTAAATGCCTTTCTGTAATTTGGCTTTTTGGCTGATTTGCAAGCCCCTTGTTCCTGTTGTTGAGCTAACCACTTTTAAGAAGACCAATGTTTATATTTTTGGTTAATTCTGTTCTCATGAAAGTAGTATGATGAGAGGAATAACCTACATGCATAGAGTTAATTCATGCACAGTGCTATAACAACCAGAGGAAAGCCTGGTACAGGTAGAAGGTAAGTAAAAATGCACAAGACTTGCAAGTGACAAACTCGTAAAATTCCTTGTAACAGAACATCAGTAGTGTGGTGCTGGAAGATTGTCTCAGTCCTTTTTGTATGTAAATATAATGTGTGTTTTAAGCTGCCTTTTTTTTTTTTTAATTTTGCAGGGACCTGAGCTGATGAATAAATATGTTGGTGAGTCTGAACGAGCAGTGAGAGAGGTGAGAAAGGGCAAGCCATACATAATGTTATATGTTAAGCTTTCTTGATGTTCAAATTCTTCTCTGCTTATAAGATTACCTTTAAACTTTTCAAAAAAATCTCCTTCTGGTTTAAGTTTAAAAACAAAATGAAATAAAATAAAAAAAAAAAAAGGCAAGAGGGGTATTGTGTGTTGTTCAACTTCCTTCTGCTTCTGCATAGTGATGCATGTCACATTTGGATCCAGTTGTAGCTTTCACTGTAAGCCTGCAACTTGCACTATCATGAATAACTTCTCTCTTTTTTTTTTTTTTTTCTCAAAATAAACCTTTTAGAAGACAAGGCTTCTGTCTGTTCTGTGATGCTCTGTAGCTTTTGAGGTGTGCAGGGGGTGATAGCATTCTGTAAAAATTTTCGATCCCTTAAACGGAGTGTTTCATTGTTGTTGTTCTAGATCTTTAGGAAAGCCAGAGCGGTGTCTCCTTCAATTCTTTTCTTTGATGAAATAGATGCCTTGGCAATTGAAAGGGGAAAGTAAGTATTCCTGTTACAAAAATCACAGCCGGTGTTTTCTGATAAATTACTCTTGCATTGTGCAATCACAAGTGTATTACTTTTCCAGAATTAATTTATTAAATATATTCATTCCACATACAGAAGGATAGCATTTGTGGCTTCTACTCAAGTGTATTTAACTTGGCATAAACAGGTAAGCTGGTGGAGTTCTTCCTTTCTCATCTTATTAACAGGAATGATTATACAGGTTCTCATGCCCGTTGGCTCTTTTCCGTGGTTTTAGCTTGCATTTATTTCCAGTAACTAACTCCTTTCTTTTCCCAGGGTTGTTGTACTGGCCTAATATAGTGTCTCCATAAGCAAACAATATGATCATATGCTATATAACAAGAATTTCCAAGGAGACTACTCATATGCCTAAATCTACCCTTAAACATTTTGCCAGAGTGGGAAAAACTTCTTGCAAAGATTTGGGAACACTTATGTCCTTTCATGTGTGACATGAAAAAGGGATTGTTACGCAAGCAGCTAACAATGTTTTTTTAATATCCTGCTTTGTGATGATTCTGAGAGATGTTTAGCTCTTGTCTGAAGGAGGATTATAGCAGGTTTTAGTTGCTACTGTAGTATTTAAGATTTGATAGGCTCTGTAAGTGGTTTTTCTTGGGGGATATCTTATAAAATATTACTGCTTGTGTGCAAGTACTTTTTTCCTGGTTTGTGCATGTAGAAGGTGTTTGTCCAGTTTAGAGGTGCAGCACAACGTTTTTATTTTTCTGGAAAAGAGGCTACTTTGGCATCCATACAGACTCCTTTGTATTGCAAAAGGACCATTTTTTATCTGCTGGAAAGGATAAAAGGTGTCATTCTGACATTTCAGTAACACAAATAATCTATGTATCTTGCAGCAGGTGATATCACGTGCAACAGTAGCACTGTTCTGTGAAGAAACGAACACATTTTCTGTTGAAAATGCCAAATCTGATAGAAGTCTTCATCAGTACACTTCTCATATGCAGTGTATGCAACTGTGAAATTTGTAAACTTCCTAGAAATGCTAGCCACCCTGTGATACATGCTGAAACACCTGCCTGCTTATCACAATAGAGGAGTTGCAAAACTGTGCTGGAATCAAGCCAGTAGAGGGGGAAAAAATCTCCCCCCCTCTGCTGCAATTCGTCATGTGCTTAGCTTTCAGAAACACGACTTCATCAAGATAAAACCTTTTGGAAGAATAAGCCATAATACATTTTAATCAGCCTTTTCACACAGTGCCCTAGAGTTGTTGAGCTTGTTTGTGTGCTTGCTTTATTCTTTTTGGGAGTAAACAACCCAATTTCTCTTTACCTGGAATGGTCTGTGGGGGGTAGTAGGCCTGGCATAGCTTGCTGAAGAATGTGGTATGACCTGCTGCAGTCATGTTGCACTGGAGACATCTGGTTTTGGAGCTTTAAAAAGAACAGGGTGGGGGACACAAATATTTCATTGTCAAATCTGAACCAGATGGGAGGTAAAATATGTAGCAGAGTACTCGTAAAATTCATCTGAAATTAAATGGCGTAGGAAACCAGACAAGGCACTTATTAGAAATGGCCTTTTTTTACAGGCTGACTTTGCACAGTAGGAATTTGCAAGTGCATTAGAGATGCTAACGATTTGTGGCCTCTGGAGATCCATTTCCTGTACTCTTACTAACCATACTGAAGTTTTCAAGGAAACACCTGTTTATATTGTCTCCCTATTCCCTCTGTTGGTTGAATTAGTTTTCTCTGCCTTGGCAGTGAAAAGCACCCTGTGATACAGCTTTGTAAAAGTTTTTCCTCTCAGTTTAAATCCTTGTTAGGATTCTGTGGGCTTTGTGCAGAAAAGGTACTGCATCCCAAATCTCCCGGGTAGCTAACCTCTCCTGATCCTAAAAGGACATTTCCAGAGACACAGAGAAGCCTAAGCTTTGTAAGTTGTGAGCATGGTTTTATGCATAGTTCAGATCTGAAATACAGATGTGAAATAACATTGAGTAATTGCTTAATGCTATTGCTCTTCAAAGCACTTGGCTAAGTACTTGTTAACCCATTATTACTTGTTTAGTTTTACCCAAAGGTGGTGTGCTTAAAACACAAACGTTTTGCTCCCAAACTTCTGTAGAGATCACTAAGCAATCCCTTCTCATCAGCAGGCACAGACAAACTAACAGACTTTGTAATTAGTTCTATTACAGGTAAGTCAAGAAAGTTCAGGAATTTTCTTGTTTGTACCATTCAGCATGTCTCCTTGGCATCATGTAGTGGAGTCTGCGTCACTGCGCAAGCCCTTACTCCATGGCAAATGCTGTAGGTGCATTCAGATATGCCACGGTGTTTTATTTATTATAGCCATACCCAAGCCCTGGCTCCATAATTGTAATATGTCTAACACCATACTTAATGTGACTGTGTCATGTAGCAGTTTTGCTTTACAACATGTATTTGTGTGCGTTTATTAGCTACAAGAAATATTGTTTTGAAGTCAGCAAAAGTTGTATTCATTGACATTGTTCAATGTCAAAATGCATTATTTCTGAAAAGCTTATTTCTTATCCAGCCTGCTTGGAAGTTGAGTACGTTTCATGTATATGAAATATGCTCCTGGGTTTATCGCCTTGTCTGTACACTCCCCTCCCAGTTTTGCATGTAGGCAACAAACTAATACGTGTTAATGAAAGAATGAAAAATGTGGACTGGATTCATACCAGCCTCAAAGAGAATTTACAATAACAGAATCCTGCACCTCTGAAGAAACAAAGTTCATCAAGCAACTGCTCCTTACACTGGACAGGTCTGGAGATCCTTGATGCAAGAAGATGAGAGGGTGATTCTGAATGGACTTGAGTTTCCAGTATGGTAATGAAGACAGATGAAGATAATTTGAGCTGTATTCATTTCTGTATTTTGTTACACTGTGCTTCTAGCACTCTTGAAAGACTTTTCTCTCTGCCTGGTTTATGTTGAGATGTTAAAGGAAGTTTAGACAGAACTCAAAATAAAAAATTAGGGGCTGAATCAACTGTCTAAAGGAAAGGGAGGCATTCACTCTAACTGGTTGTAAAGAATGGATGATAAATGTGTGGAAGAGGGTAGAAAGTTAGAGGTGTCATGATGAGTTTTGAGTGGAAAAATAATTGAGATCAGAAAATCTTCTGCAAATCAGAAAGGCTTTTGGTAGAGAATTTTCCTTCACTGAGTTAGTCCAAGCTCCAGCAAACTACCACTTGACACCTTTAAAACAAAATTGACGTTTCACGGATTAACATGCAGTGCGGAACAGTTATGCATTGCGAGAGATGAACTGGGTGATGCACGGAGCCTTTTCCACTACTCTGTGGTTCTAATTAGCTTTTACTTCCATGAGCGGGTTAAGACTTTTTTTCCTTTCTCCTTACTTTTGAAAGATGCTGTTAGGACCTTTTGTAGGAGGGCCTGTGTTGAAGCGAGAGCTGCAGGACTGGTCCAGATACAGCAGCGCGTGATGAGGAAAGTTTGCCTTGCAGTAATCCCTTGCCTGGACAAAGCTTGAGAGGCTTTACAAATTGCACAGCTGCAAAGAGTTATGGGTATTTGTTATCCCTTGGTATCCCGACCATGTAAAGCCTAATTCTTCTGGCCATTAAAGGTTGCCAAGAGGGAAATGGCTTGGTAATTAGACTTGAAAGTGATGAATGAACGTGGTTCTGTGTAAATGCACCACAGACAGTCTGTTTGCTGAACTTAAGAAATCTCTGTGCTTTGGAAATGGGACATTGTTTATATACGTAGGATTTTTAGGATTTTTGGGTGCAAGACATGTTTGTTCCTTTTCCAGAAGCAAAGCATTTTCCCCTTTAACTGCAAATCCTTGTAATGTAAGGTAGGAAATGTTGTAGACTGATGTGAAAGACACTGATAAATTCCATTAGAATGGGGAAAAAAATGACAAGGGACAGAATTGGTACCTTGCACTTGACTTGTGCAGGCCAGAACAAATTGGTAGCTGAATAATGATAACCTTTTCATGTGAGGGTAGAAGTGACAAAGTGAAGGGACTTTGGTACCAATTCCCTGAACCTACAATATGATGATGCTTTTCCAGGGAGGTATGTTAGCTTGTAAGCTGAGGGAAAGACAGATAAATTCTTAAGCCACAATTTAAAATGCTTAGAACCTCTGAAGGATGCACTGTTTTCACTTCAGGTATTAAAATATTTGCAGTCTTAACTTTGAGGCCCTCAGGCTCCTAAATAGAGCTGTGAAGAACAGCATCTTCTGTGTTGTGCTACTTCTGCTTTTAACAGTGTTGTGATACATCTTCTGCTTTTAAACCAAGTAGTCTGTCTTTCTGGAATACTTTAGGACATACTGTTGTCCAGGTTTTGGCTGGGATAGAGTTAATTTTCTTCCTAGTAGTTGGTACAGTGCTGTGTTTTGGATTTAGGATGAGAATGTTGATAACACACTGATGTTTTAGTGTAAGCACTGCTTAGCAACAACTAAGTCAAGGACTTTTCAGCTTCTTAAACTGACCTACCAGCAAGGAGGCCAGGGGTGGCACAAGAACCTTGGAGGGGACACAGCCAGGACAGCTGACCCAGACTGCCCAGAGGCATATTCCATACCATATGATATCATGCTTAGTATACAAACTAGGGGGAAGGTTGGCTGTGGGCTGCTGCTTTGGTATTGCCTGGGCATTGGGTGGTGAGCAATTGCATTGGGCATCACTTGTTTTTTATATTGTTTTATCATCATTATTATTATATTTTCCCTTCCTCTTCTGTCCTACTAAATTGTCTTTTTTTCATCCCACAAATTTTACTTTTTTTTTTTTCTCCAGTTCTTTTCCCTATCCCACCACGGGATTGGGGAGTGAGGGAGTGGCTGTGTGGATTTAGCTGTGGTTTGGGTTAAATCACAACAACTCTACACTTTATGTTCAAGTGTACAGCGTAATATGTTCTAGTGTTGCATTTTTATATCTGCAAATTCGCTGGTTGGCAGCCTCTGTCA